CAGAGCGTCCACAGAGCTGTGAGTCCACAGAGCGTCCACAGAGCGTCCACAGAACTGTGTGGGCTGGTGATGCTCCACAGATACTGACGAGTGTTACATAACTCTGTGTGTGTGTGTGTGTATGTGTGTGTGTGTGTTGCTAGGCAACAGTGTCCTTAGGTGAAGGCAACAATACCCTCTCTCCTCCTACACACACACACAGACACACTCGTACCTGTGTGGAAGCACTCAGAAGGAATAATCAGGTTTTCTCTGGAACACTCCCACACAGTGCAGCAGTATGGTTTGAGTTGTGTGTGTGTGTGTGTGTGTGAGTGTGAGTGAATGCTCTTGTACAGCTATCTTTGTGAGGACCAGTTTGAGCCTAAAACCTACAGAATGAGGACATTTTGTCTTGTCCGCACTTTAAATGACTGTTTGGAGGTTAAGAGTTGTTTATGGTTAGAATCAGGTTGAGGTTAGATGATGGAATGTATTATGCCAATGAGTGTCCTCACTAAGATAGAGTACAAACATGAGTGTGTCTTTGTGTGTGTGTGTGTGTGTGTGTGTTAAAATCCTTCACAGGTTTTAATGAATCAATTCTAAACCTACAGCTAGCTTAGCACAAGGACTGGAAGCAGGGGGAAACTGCTAGCTTAGCTCCTTAGCATACTTTACAATATTGAATCTCACCTGTTCAATAATGAGCATTGTGGCTCAGGAAGTGGAGTAGGTTGTCCACTTACCTGAAGACCGGCAGTTTGATCCCCGTCTCCTCCATTCTGCGTGCCAAAGTTTCCTTGGTCAAGATACTGGCCAACCCCAGACGTCCAGTAGCCCAGTGGCCCACTCTCCTGCCAGAGGAAGAAGTCGATGCTGCAGTCAAAGCAAAACCCCGCTAGAGTCAAACCTACTGCATAGGCCTACTGTCGACATGTTTCGTTGCTTTGACCCAGATGTTGTCTCAATTTGTTTGTTAAGTTCTCCAACACATTTTTTTTTTGAGGAAATCAAAAACACATGTGTACGAGTGCTGGTGTGTTGTTTGAGCAAATTTGGTTGTTATTAACAACCCCGCCTCCCTTATTAATATGCGTTACACCTATAAACTGATATGACTTAGTACTTAAATGTGCATATATTGTGTATGCTCTTGCATGGACTCAATAAAGATTTGTGGCATAAAGGAAAGAAAAAAAAAAGATACTGAACCCCAGAATATCGTGACAGCTGCCGTCAGTGAACGATTGATGTGTGATGAAGTTCTGCAGATAGATGAATGAATGTGTGGACGATAAAACAGAGAAGATTCATATAAAACATTTACATGAAAGTTTTCTGTCTTTCAGTTCGGCTTCATGACAGCATCTCAGAGGAGTTACATCATTACCTCATCTTCGACTTGTGAGTCCTGCTGCTTCTACGCTGTCATACATATGTGATGTTACAGGTGTCTTGTAATCATTTCTTATTGTTATTAGTAAAGTCACTTTGTACGTTGTTACTTTGTGTTGCATCTCTTTATTAATAATAATAATAATAATAACTTGGGTTTGTATAGCGCACTTTACAGAGAGAAAATACAAAGTAAGAAAGACAAACACAAGATAATACTAGTAATGGTTGGCTGAGGCTAGAGTCCACAAGCTGTGGTGAACAAGTGGGTTTTCAGGAGATCTCTGTAGAGATGGGGGCGGAGAGCAGACCCGAGTCTGAGGACTGCAGGTTTCGGGATGGGTAATAGGGGCAGAGGAGGTCAGACAGGTACTGGGGGGCAAGACCATGGAGGGATTTGTAGTTGAGGATTAGGATTTTGTAATGGATGCGGGACTTGACCGGAAGCCAGTGAAGTTGGATGAGGTTGAGGTTAATGTGCTGCCAGGGCTTGGTGCGGGTGAGAACCCTGGCAGCTGAGTTCTGCACATACTGGAGCCTGTCCAGGGCCTTGCTGGGGACCCCGGACAGGACTCCATTGCAGTAGTCCAGACGGGAGGTTATGAAGGCATGGATGAGAGTCTCTGCCACGGAGTCAGAGAGCGATGGCCGGAGTCTGGAGATATGTTTGAGGTGGTAGAAAGCAGAGACTGGAAGGAGATGGTGGAGTCGAAAATGACACCCAGGTTTATTTACATTGTGTGATTTTTCATCTCATGACGTGACACTTTGTTTCCTTCAGTGCATGTTTGTGTTGTGAGGTTAGCCTGTTGTTGTTGTGTGGGTACTGTGTGATGTGACGTAAACCTCTGTGTGTGTCTATGTTGTATCACCTTCTCTGACGCAGGGTCACAGGTGGGGAGTTGTTTGAAGACATCGTGGCCAGAGAATATTACAGTGAAGCTGATGCCAGGTAGGAAACAGTCGCTACATGATACTGTAACATACGTGTGACCCGATCTGAGATTCACACACAACCTCTCTCTCTGAACAGCCACTGTATCCAGCAGATTTTGGAGGCGGTGCTACACTGTCACCAGATGGGCGTGGTCCACAGAGACCTAAAGGTCAGGTTCATATTTACTTCCACCACAGAGGTCATGTTTTTGTGTTTGTTCACGTGATCATGTATTATGAAATCCCTTGGTATGCACCTCATTGACCAGATCCTGGAACTTTGCTCTCTTTTGTTGGTGAGCGGTGACTCTTCTGTCCTTCCAGGGAACTGTGAGGTCCTCTACCACATCTTTGTGCTTCTGGTTAAATGGTCCAATTGTGGTTCACCTCCTCTGGAAATAGATTTGCCCTCTTCAGCTCCACTTGCATCTTAGAAGCGTAATGCAAAATGGAGAATGGTTTCTTGCCCTTTTAGGCTTGTCTCCTTCCCTCTGGAAGCTGGGCAATTTTGATGGCGTTGCCTGGTGTTTGGTGGCTTTGAGTATCTGCAGCTCTCGTCATGTGACAGTTTTCTTGCGGACCTTACCGTGCCTCCATCTGTACTGATCTCCTCCCAGGGATTTGGGACAGCCAGTAAAGATGGGATTCATGGTAACACTGCTTGCAGGATGGGTCTTCTTGTTGGCCCCAGATCTTCATGGCTGTTTGTAACTGGCAAAAGTAAAGCACCTTGGCTTTGTATTGTCCAAGTCTTAGTCGTGTGACGGCCCACCAAGTGACTTCCTGTTGATGTTACTCCTTGAAGGAGCCTGGGTGGGTCGTCAGAGTAACTGATTGCACCTGAGATGTGGGAGGAGCAAAAGGTATAAAGGGGTTGCTTCCCCAGTCTGTGCTCTCTCTCCCTGGGCAGCTTCCACCTGACATCATGGCCTCTGTATTGGTTTAGTTTGGTTTGTTTCTACATTTGTTTCAACACTCTCACCTACACTTTCCCTCATGCACACACGCCTTACACTACTGATACTCACCATTACTTTGGAACAGTAATGTCAATGGGTGATTCTCGCATGTGGTTTTCAGTTGAGCTACCTGGGTTGAGAGGTTTAGTGGTTGTCCAGAGAAATAGGCTCTCTCATGCAATAAGTATTGGTCTGGGTTGTTTCATAACAAGCAGTGTCACTGGTTGGAGCGAACTTTCCCGTTAGGCATAAGACACGTGTACTGGGTGACCAGACATGTCCTTGACAGACCAAGACAACAATCTCCTGATGCTTCAGTTTTCCATTCAAGATACATAATGCCGTCATTTTCCTGGGTCGAAAAGCATCGATGAGCTTGAAGCCATCTTCTGAGCTCATGCTCCATCTCCTTCCTTCGATCAACAGTCATCTTGCATCCTCCCATGATGCACTTGTTTTCATGAAAAACTACTGAACCGATTTCCACCAAACTTGATGGAGGCATAAACAAACATTTCGTTTAGGTGCAGATGTGGATTAAGTTGCAGAACCAGCACATTGAATTGCACATTCTGATTTGAAACATATTTCGTGGACTGACATTTACAAATGTTTGCAGTTAAGTTGGGCTTTCCTGAATGTTCGCACTCAAATGAGTGTCATTCTAGTCATATTAATTTTCATGCATCAATGTGAGTCTGCTCATTGCCAACAATAACAGGAAGAGTTAGCATGTTAGCATGTGTTCTGTGTCTCCAGCCAGAGAACCTGCTGCTGGCCTCGAAGTCCAAAGGTGCTGCTGTGAAACTGGCTGACTTCGGCCTGGCCATCGAGGTGGAGGGAGACCAGCAGGCCTGGTTTGGTAAGACCTCTCAGTCATACTGTAATAACACTGTAATAATACTGTAATAACACTGTAATAATACTGTAATAACACTGTCATACATTAA